GTCGTTGATTGTACCGAATTGATCAGTCTCTGTTGGCATATGGGCTCCTGTGTGGATGCCTTGATATTCCCTGTGTTTCAATTATGTATAGTAATGATGGACAGTAGCTAGCAGTAGAATCCGGGATGCGCATTTCATCCTATTTGGGATTAGTCAGCTGGATGTACCTGCCTCTCAGTGAGTGATGTTGTTCCCACCGGGACGAGTCCCAAATAGGAGGAAATGCGGATCCTGGATTCTACTGCTAGCCATTGCCCATCATTACTATAAATAAGAATAATGGTTATAGTTATAATGTTGCTAGTTGATGACGTAAAAGTCGGATGATAACAAAAAGGGGTTATGTAAGATTTTCAAATCGTTTATAAGATGAATATAGATTGAAAAGGATGAGAACGTTAATAAACAATCAAAGGATTAGGTAATATAAATGAGACAAGTTAATTGGAGTAAATTGGAAATGTTTCATTAAAAGGTGCGATTATTAAGAAGATCAAATTAAATAACACTGGAAACAATTAAATATAAAAAATGAAATGATAATGACGATATAAGAGTACAAAGATTAATCTGACATAAAAGGGGAACAGGGGAAAAAAAGAAAAAAGAGGACGAAGCGCACCAAGAAATAAACAAAGGCCAATGTAGACACAAAGACAGTACATACTTTTTTTGTACACAACGTTCATGCTGGCTTCAGTTCATGGATATCCAAGGCCTCTACTGTTTTTAGTAGCTGAACACGGAGAAAACATGAGGTGTTTGGGTGAATTCGATAGACAGACTTAAAATCCTTGTTTGGGTCAGTTGAATGGTTGGAATTGATTAAATACTCAAGGATAGAACTTCTGACAGATTTTCTTTGACCCTTATAAAACCAGGCCGGAATGTGTTCTCGTATACGTGTTGATAGCAGTCTCTAACTACGGCCGATTTACCTTGCTTCACAGGAGCAAGTGAACTGTGTCACCAACTAGCAATATCATAATTATCACCATCATTATTGTTGTTTCAACCCCCCATTATTTAAGTTCAATCTTCATCATGGATTACATCCTTTAAATATTATATATATATATATATATATATATATATATATATATATATATATATATATATATATGATATTTGAAAAATTATATCCCGTGAGGATAACAAAACACTATATGATGATGATCACAATAATAATAGAGCGGATGATGACATAGGCATTTGTGATCATAATAACAATTGAAGTGCGGATGATAATAGATAGATTATGTAATATATGGAATGTTACATAGAGAGTATATAACTCAGAAGGGGTTGAAAAAACAGTCAAAAATGGTAAATCAATTAAGTATTATGTAGTAGCATTAGACAAGTTGAACAGGATGAAATAGTTGGGAAAACATCACTTTACAAATGTTCAATCCTGCACGTAAGTTATGGTGCCTATATATGGATGACACATCTACTGTGTTGAAATCACAACATATCGACAATTTCCTCATGCATATAAACTCAGTAGTAAACGCAATCCAATTGACTTACGAAGGGGTGGAAAATGAACAAGGAGAATTGTAGATTGGATTGGATTGGATTGTAGAATAAAACGAAGAAAAGACAGTGGCTTGGATACTACTATCTACAGAAAACCAACACATTCCAACAGATATCTAGACTTCAAGTCATCTCATCCAATGCCAGTCTGTTAACGCAGGTTTAGTCAAATGTCTAAATGATAGAGCTAGAAAACTGACTAGTCAGTGCAAGGACTTGAACAAGGAATTGAAACACGTGGAAGAAGCGCTAATACTTAATAATTATCCTGCGCAGTTCATCAAGAAATTTGTATGAACACAAGAAACACGAGTTCGACTAATAAAGACAACACAAGTAAAAAGGAGTTGACAGCCTCCATTGTATTGCCTACCATATAAGGAGGGTACCTCAGAAACTTCACGTAGAATCCTCGACAAGGCTGAAATTAGGGTGGCATTTAAACCTTGAAACTAACTCAGAGATAAACTTTGTCACTGGCTTAAGGATCCGATAGAAGCAATTAAGCAAAATAATGTAATCTATCAAATAGCATGTAATGACTGTGAGGTCAAGTATATAGGTGAAAGTAGCCGACCGAGGTCAGTTAGATTAGTGGAACATAGGAATTGAGCTGAATGTAGAATGACAGACCTGAATAAGATCAATAATCTAGAAAGTAAGTCAGCCATTGCAATGCATGCATAGTAACACACAACCACACAATAGGGTGGGTGAGATAAAACCACTCTACTGCTTAACTCCAATATAATTAGGTGGAGAGAGAGAGAGAGAGAGAGATTGATTACTGAATCTTTGTTCATCGAATCAACGCTCAGCACATGTGGAATAGAAATGATGCAACACGTATACCAGAGATATGGAAAATTTTGCTACCAATGTTAACAACTCATATGAATGAGGTGACATGACTATAAAAATAGAATGTTGAAAGTGGAGTGTGATAACATTGTGATATGATTATGAGGAATAAGTAATTAGTGATCGAAACGCCATCAAGTAAATAATACTAGATCATTGGATGTGTTATAAATCAAATAAACAAATGTAATGCGGAATTAAATTCTACCACAGTACCTAAGTTGTACACCTATATTAAGGATGCAATCAATGTTTTCTAAAAAGTCACTTTAGACAAGTAAGTGAAATTACACCGCAAACTAATTAAAGTGAAGGCGATTATAATAACAATAATAGTGATATAGGAAGGATACATAGGTCATATACTTTCTATGAACCATTCCACATATTACATAATCTATTTGTTATCATTGGCACTTCAGTTGTTACTATAATCACAAGTGCCTATGCCATCATCCGCTCTATTATTATTATTATTATTATGATCATCATCATATAGTGTTTTGTTATCCTCACGGGATATATATATATATATATATATATATATATATATATACATATATACGTTAAGGATGGATCATGACTAGCAGTGGAATCCAGGATACGCATTTCGTCCTATTTAGGACTCACTGGTCAGCTGGATGTACCTGCTTCCCAGTGAGTGATGTTATTCCCACCAGGATTCGGACTCGGGAGTGATCGCTTCAAACTGGAGTTTGATCAATGAGTCCCAAATAGGACGAAATGAGCATCCTGTATTCCACTGCTAGCCGCGATCCATCATTAACATAATTAGAATGCAGGCAATATCGAGGCATCCACACAGGAGCCCATATGCTAATAGAGACCGATCAATTCGGTCCAATCAACGACGGTATCACATAAAAAACAAAAAAAACAATCATATATATATATACGATTGTACAGCTTGAGAATAAATTCGTTGAAAAGAGTCTGTTTGAGGAATATCTTGTTCCTGATGTTACAATGGGAATTATTACGTTGATTAGATCATTGCATGATGTACTACGCTTATTATCTTCTAGAGATCGGTAATAATTTTTAATCTTCGAATGATCAAACTGAATTCTTTCATATAAACTTTGTTGAATTCAAACAAAATTCTGTATTTGAATAAAGCACAAACAAAGATGTTGACAAAATAAAATGATCCCATTTTATTTCACAGCCTTTCATCAGCTGCAAACAGTCTACAATTAAAATGAAGTATTAGTGGTAGTAATAATGGCATAATACACTTTAGATATGTAGAAATAAATAAAGATTTGAAAGCCAGGCTTAATAATTAGTTGAGGAGTCAAGGCAACACAGGAATATTAGTTAGAAATTTTGGTCAAATCAATGGTAATTTATATCTGATGAGAGAGAAAATTCTAGAGTCGTAGAAAGTTGCCGCGGAGAAGGGAGACAACAAACAGATAGGAGTGTAAAAGAAGGGGTTTATTAAACGGCTAGGAGATTACACAACTATATGAAAAACTGACTAAGTGACCAAATAATTAATGGAGAGATGATGTAATCAGAAAAAAGAAAACCATACAAATGCATATACAGAAAGTTATATACAGTTACCATGGTAAAGAAAGGTTAATTACAGTCTCTTTTTGAGTAAATATGCGAGGTTGAAAGTATTTGATGCCGAATTCTTCCACAAACCGTTAAAAGTATGGTGTTCTTTGCTTATTGATTATCTTAAAGGATTGAGAAACATCCATTTGATATACTGTTTCCATTAGGTGCTTGGTGAATACACTACCGTACACACACAGAATTGATACTAATAGAGAAGAAATCTTTGTTTCTGTAAATAAAATTTCAGAGAGACTCCAAGTGACATTCTATTACAACGTCTAGCTACAGCAGTCAATAGAATGTTTCATGCAGGTTGTCTTTAGATATCTTCCAGTGTTCGGTTAATGCTGAGTGTAAAACTGAAGGATAACCTACCTAATCTTAGCTCTTCATCTTACGTATACCAATTCGACTGTTCCTATGGAACTAGTTACATAGGGCATCCGATTAGGCAGGTGTGTCTCCAGATACGAGAGTATTTACCGGCTTGATTCGGAAAAGGTGAAATGAAAGTGGAGAAAATTACCATCTCAGTGCATCTAGTAGACACAGAGCATCATATAGATGCTAATAAAACTTTCCATGTCATACAAAGTATTACAGAAACAGTTTCAAGTATAGCTCACCAACGTCTGCTCAACATTGCTGAAACTGTCACTGTAAGATAGATCAAACCTCCTGAACTGTCCATTCAGAAAGATCATGTTCAAACAGTATTCTTTACTTGACCTTCAGTAAATTAAACATCATTTTTATTCATCAACACCAATACTAAGAAATTTAACAAGAAAAATCAATATCCTTACAACTATGATCCATAAGTCACTGGTTCGAGCTCTGCATATGCTCAGATTTTCATTTCACCTTTAATCCTCATTCAGTATGAAGTCTGTCAAGTAATCAAATTGATAAAAAGGAAAAATTATCAACTTAAAACATCACAGATAAAAATAAATAACTATTAATTGATTTTATTTATTTATTTATTTACTGAACAACTATAGGACCGTGTTTTTTGACAAGTTTAACGGAACGTGAATTGACTCCAACCAAATCATGGGGTGATCATATCATATTCGACTGTGATGCTGTTATGGGTGGAACTGACGGTTCACTGGATAATTTACTATATACTTGGGAGTTTATTAGCAACAATATCCACAATAACAATAATAATCTACGATCTCCTGATCAAGGGAGTGACAGTGGATCAGATACTTCAAATATGCTTCACAGACAACGTCTTTTAGTTAGAACACTATCTGTTGCCTCAGCCACAGTTGTTTCTAGTAGCAACAGTGGCACCGGTAATAATGATAATAGCAATAACAAGAACCAAAAATTGGATCTTAGTCAATTTCATGATTCACAACTGCGTATTGATAAACTGACATTGGATCATAACGGAGAATATCGGTGTATTGTGAGAACAATGACAAGTAACAGTCAATTGCCTTCTCCAATGTCTATGACAAGAAATTTCCGTTTAACTGTAAAGTGTAAGTCTAGTTTTATTCTTCATTAGTTTGTGTATTATGTCAGTCTTACTGATATTATTATTCTTTGTTTATATATTGGCTTCGAATTCCAGTTTTCCACTAATATGTCGCTATCAAACTGGCCAATCAGAATGAAAATGAATGTTTATAATTTTAATCTGGGGGTTTGTGGGGATTTATGGATTTTTCAAGTTGGTATTCATCATGGACTGACACTAGTCGGAGGAACAATGGAGATCTGGGAGCACTGGACAGCCGTTTCGTCCTAGTATGGCACTACTCAGCAGTGTGCGCCCATAATCCCCACCCATTCAGGGATTGAAACCATGACTTTCAGATTCCATGGTTAACACATTACTATTGAGCTGCTGGGTTCAAATTTAATGGTACATAGTGCGAGCAAACGCACTATCATCGTTGGATATTTTTCCATGGGTGTATACTGAAGAAAAGTCCCGTAGTAGGACAAAACAGCAGTCCAGTGCTCCAAGGTTTCCAATGTTCTTCTAACTGATATCAATCGAGGATATATACCAACTTGAAATATTTCTAGGCTAGAATCACTCATTGTACATGGTTAGTGCTAGACAGTTGAGCAGTGGTCTTGAAGATCATTCAGTGGATGTTCCTAGCTGTAAACATTTGAACTCTGAATTACTGGACTGTAATTCAATGCATATTCGGATAAAAGGAAATGACCAGTTGGATGGTGTGTTAACAGAATCCTGTAACATGAGTGTTCTTTTCTTATGTGGAAGAGTTGCTTGGAAGTTTTCGGCTCTACTGAATAATGACTTCTACATAAGAGGGGGTGCAGCTTGGAACCTTGAGCTGAACAGCAGAAACTGAAGTGAAACTTGAAAGAAACAATAAAATATAAGGCTTAAACCAGTGAGTTGGGGGTGGGATTCAACTGGCATATGATCAATATTTCTGATATTCTTCTAGGTGAGATTAGTCACAACCTGAATAATATCCTAGTTATGATATCTCCTATATTGACATACTGTGAAACATTGGTTCAATGGTGACGTGTTGGCCATAGAACCTGAGGGTTGGGGGTTCGACCCCTGATGGGGTCATGGGTGCGCACTGCCTTGGAGTCCCGTAGTGGGACGAAACAGTTGTCCACTACTTTCAGTTTTCTAATATTCCTCCAAATGATATCATTTTATGATGAATCAGTTTCAAATTTTAGAATTAGGAGAGGAGATATTAATTTACACCAAGGTGGATATATTGATGAGTTCCAGAAAAAGGCTTTCTTCTAATAGCCTTTAATCATTTCCAGTGTTGTGGCATTTTTCATTACTTTTTCCATGTATTCCATTTCACTGTTTTCTTACATCTAAAATATTTACGCTTTCAAGAATATAAGATACAGATGTGTTTTCATCTATAATTTGTTTTGTATTATCGTCATCATCCAGATCAACCTAGGACCAGGCATTACTGCGTAACGGTCCAAGTTGCCACACCTCATATCAGCACATCAAGTAAAAAGGTAGTGAGAAGAAAGATGAAGATAAGAGAATGCAGTCAAAAGAAATATAAACTACGAAAAGAGAGAAAGGAAAAACGAGAAAATGGTGAGATTCCGTAAAGCGTCGTTAAGATGAGGATAATGTATGTATACATCTGTGCCACTGACATCGGTTCTGAGTCATATCAACTAGGGTCCCCAACCACTGGTTCCTCTTGTCCCGCGAACAGACCCCATCCACCTAGTCTGCATCGTCCTACATGACTTAAACCAACAGTCAGAGACTTCATACATTGGTGCCATGTTTTAATCTGGCCACCTCGGGCCTTTTTCCAGCCTGGGCCAACCTCAGCCAACATTGTGTGAAGAGGCAATCGGTGACTAGGCATACGTAGTACGTGTCCCAACCATCTCAGTCAATGAAGGTTCACAACCTCGTCAACTGACTTACCTCTTCTCCCTAAAACTCTACACCTGACTTCTGCATTACTCACGTGGTGACACTACGGAATACGTCCTATACTACGAAGGCAATGGTGGTCAAACACTTGAAGCCTTCTCATATCTTCCACCTTCAATGGCCATGTTTCACAGTCATACAGTAGAACAAAATGGAATACTGTGCAGTATACGTGACCCTTAGTAGACAATCGGATATCACGGCGGCGCCATAGATGGCATAAGTTGACAAAAGCCAGCCAGTCGAGCTTTTTGTATCCGTGCAGAGATTTCACTTGGCTACTTAACCATCAGGGCTAATTCTACTTCCCAAGTAAGTGAAGTGGTCAACACACTCAACCACTTCACTCTTTATTGTTAACCGTAGCACCATTGTATAAATTGTTTTTTCTTCCTATTATTAATCTCATCTAAATTTCTAATATAACAGTGAGTTTATTTGGATATAAGAATTATGAGGTAGACATTTTATCAACAGATTCATCTATTCGTTGTATACTCAGTCCATAAACTGAGCAACATAAGCATACGTAATAACAACAACAACAAAGTTGGGAAACTTATCAAAAAGTTGAGTGTACTAACAGTTGTTTCATTGTATTTTATCAAAATTGATCATTAGAAAAAGAAAGTAAAATTGAACAGATCTGTTTAGTTGTAAACTTGAAAACATTATAAGATAATAAACTTTTTATATACAGTAAAAGTAATCAAACAGATAGATATATTCATCATAAATAATACATCTGTTATATACATTTTTAATTATGTAAACAGATGAATTATATGAATATCAATCAACTTTCATTGTTGATTAATATGATTATTTTAAAAAAAAATGTATTTAACACCTGCAGTATAAAAATATAATATTTTTTTAAAATATTTAAATTTTACGCCTGAAAATATATACACAATATTAAAACAAACTAAGCATATTGTTCATATTTAAATAAATAAAAAAATTTCTTTTTCATCTACAACTAATGATAAGCAAATATATCAGGGGAATAAATTAACTTTCCGCGGCTATTCATAAAATATATGTAAAAAGAATATATATATAGATATTCACGTATAGGAAATCGTTATCTTTTTCTGCGCTACATACTACTGATATGAAACCCATTTAATTAGTAAAAGAGGATAGTATTAAAAATTTATACATTAATTGCTTAATTAAATTAGTAATCTAATTAAGAGTAAGTAAATAGTTAATTCCAGAGTATAACTGATTTGTTGCTGTGATGTTTAAAGAAAGTTAAAGAACATTTTGAATATGATTCCAAGAAGAACGTTTCGTTCTATTTTGGACTCCTCAGCTTGATGTACCTGCACCCAAATGGTGATGTTTTTTCGCACTGAAGTTCGAGCTCAGTATCCATCGCTTCAAACGCCAAGGTGTTATTCACTAAGCCACTGGGGTACAATATCCACCTCTTGTGGAACGAGTATCAGTTATTTTTCTCATACTTGACACTTCCTGTTGCTATACAGGGCCGAATTGCTCGACCAAGATTTATATAACATCATGAATATCCAGCGGTATCGAGGTATCCGCATAGGAGCTCATCTCCTAATAGAGGTCGAGTAATTTCGGTCCTGTATAGCAAAGAGAAATGACTAGTACGAAATCAAAATCTCAGATATGTACACTACCGATGCTGCGAATCAGAAGACCTTTAATTTTCTGACTACATAGACTATTGAACTGCTGGGTTAGATTCTAGTGGTTCACAGTCACTCGCTTCGATGTTGTCAATGGCAGTCCTCTTTCTGGGTTTAAGCGTTGGTAATAGCTGAAACTAGCCATTAGAATTAAAGAAGGCTATCTTGAACGAAGTTACTGATAGCCAATGGCCTTTAATGAATAGCTACCTAAAGTTTTTGTAGATAGTTGGCCAACTCAATATGAGTGTGCTATTTCAAGGTCGAATTTTCCTGCTGGTCATCCTCGAGAAATAGGTAAGTTGCTGTTATACCCTGCCCAGCTAGCAGTACCAATTCGCCCTCAAACCTTTATCCTACAACGGCAACTACTTTTACTCTTCCCGCTATTCAGCAAACCTTTCTAATATGATAGGATGTCAACGAACAAACGTTTTAACCAGAATAGTTCGTTAATTCACTGTTATATGCAAGCCCGACCACAGTGTTGACAGCTAGCGGTCAGGCACCATTAATGTTACACAGATTTAGGTCCTAGCGACCACGTGAATTTGTGTCTTCCTGATTTACAGACGTATATACTTCTTAGAAGTACTGTGTACAGTGCTCACTAGTCAGTTTGTTTTGTGCCTGTGTGTGTGTGTGCGTATGTCTAGTCTACGACGATTCGTGCCATTGCTCGACAGTATATTTTGCGGTGTCTTCTACACTGAGAACCACTAGAACGACTTATCCCTCAATCACTCAGGTAATCAGCTGTTTATCAAGCATGTTACTGTATGAATAAGTCGATAAAATAAATGACTGACGCTATAATCTCATTTCAACATTATACTGTTAGCTAATCACCTTGACCAGTGTTGCTTATGTTTACTATATTTCAAAATTCTGTCATTCATTTAAACGCAACCAATGGCAGTAATACTTATTCTGTTGTTGTTTAAAGTGTGCGTTAACCAATGAGTACTTTTGACTTTGTCACCGGAGCGAACCTGTGTTGGCCCTGTGGGGTTTGAACCCAAGGGTTAGAACTTCATAAATTCATTCCTTTTGTGTCACTAATCGATTTTCTATCAATCTGCTTTTTTTTGAGTATGTATTTATTCGTGTGTACCTTTACGTATGAGCTGAGTAGTATTGTTCTCCTATATACAGGCAGTAGGAGAGAAATAATAGTCATACACATCGATGAGTATATAGTGTACATGTTGCCATTCATCTCTTCTTTTTCATCAATCATATTCTGACAGTTATCCACCCTATGTATCTTAATATAACATCCTGACAGGTGTATCCACCTTCCCTACAAACATACACATCCTGTTTTGATGTATACTTTTGTTACTTGACGTCTCTATCCGTTTTAATCAATCCCTCTATCTAGATTTTG